TACCCCCCCCCACCAAAAGTTCATCTTTTTCGTTTTTTTTTTGTGGGGGGGGGGTGGGGCAGGGGATGCGCCGACACGTGGCGCCGCCAGATTTGTGAACCCCCCTCCCCTGCCGCTGCCACGTGTCCGCGAATCCGCGCGTCCGCGCGGACACGTCCTCGGGCTTCGCGGACTGGCCGCGCCTGTCCGCCGCCGGTGTATCCCACCAGATCCTACCACCAGGCCCTTGGGGTCATGAAGGCGACAATCTTTCTTCCAAGGACAGCGGGTAGGGGGGGAAGGGATCTGCGAAATCCTGCGCAGCACGTAGCGGGCTGCCGGGATCTATCTTCGTCTAGTCGTGAAAAATCAGCTGGTAGTCTCTTACCATCTGTGTACGGGGTTCCTCCTGTGGTTCTCTTTCAGGCCGACATTCCCCGGTCCATTTTACCTCGGCCACCCATCCCTTCCTTTCCCCTCCCTGCCAGTTCTTGCTGAGACAAGAGATAATCCTGTTCATATCCCCCCAGGTATGCATTTGGTCCAGCTTGTCTTTGGCTGCCTTCCATCGGGTCGCAATTTCGTGTTGAACCAATGTTCGTATTTGTTCCATAACTTCTCCGTCTTCCACCCGCGGCCCCCTCAACCTCCAGGATACATCTCCTCCACCATATGGCCCATAGGACGCTCCGTCTTCCCAGGTTAAACATATTTTCCTCAAATATATTTCCCCGGATTGGAGGGTAGTACCCCAAGAGTATGGCCCGCCAATCCCATGGCCACACTGCACCAGGAACAATGTGTCGCCAAATCCTATCCCAACTTCTCCACAACAGCACCGTCGCGGGACATTGAAGAAAGATRTGCTCTATGGTCTCAGCCCGCTTTCTCCCAGGGTAGCTCTGGAGACATTTATGGCACCATGGCAGTGCCTTCCCTTGTTGTTCCAAGCGAGTGTGGTCTATCAGCCAGTCATTAGTTGGTAGACATCGGTGTTCTATTTGCCATTGGAGGGCAGAGGTTTTGGCAGGTCTACTGCTGTAGTGTGCAAACCATCGGATGGGTTTAAGCAAGTTGCGGTCTATATTGAGATGGCGATACTATTTGTCTTCAACGCGACCCCGCCCCACCTTTTTTTTGCTGTTGATTGATTGATTGATTGATTGTGTGTGTGTGTGTGCGCGCGCGCTGCCCCCGCTGCGCCAGCTGGAGTACTTGGGACATTATGTGACGCCGCAAGGCATCCGTCCGCTCGCGCCGCTCGCGGACAAGATCGAGGCCTTCCGGGTATGGCCCGAGCCCACCAACACCACGGACGTTCGTTCCTTCATGGGGTTGGCGGGCTACTATCAACGATTCATCACCGGATACTCAAGGATTGCTGCACCTATGACGAGATTACAATCGCCAAAGGTGCCATTCGTATTCGATGACGACACACGCCGGTCATTCCAAGCACTCAAGACGGCCATGCTCATGGCACCCGTCCTTAGCATCTATGACCCCACCCTGCCGACGAGAGTGACTACGGATGCTTCCGGCTACGACATTGGGGCAGTCTTGCAACAGCACGACGGCGACGACTGGCACCGTGTGGAGTATTTCAGCCACAAAATGCCTCCCATCAACTCGCTTGATGATGCAAGGAAGAAGGAGCTGCTCGCATTCGTCATGGCTCTCAAGCGATGGCGGCACTTCCTCCTTGGGCGTCGTAGGCTCACATGGGTTATGAACAACAATCCATTGACCTACTACAAGACGCTGGATACGGTGAGCAGCACGATCGGACGATGGATGTACTTCATCGACCAGTTTGACTTCACACCGAAACATCTTCTCGGCTTCTCAAATCGCGCAGCAGATGCACTCTCGTGAAGACCTGATCTTTGCGCTATGACACGTCATGCCTTCGCATTCGACGAGGAACTTCAACGACACTTCATCTGGGCATATGAGTCTGATCCGGACTTCGCCATGCTATACGCACAGTTAGCTTCGGATCACCCACCGGCCAGCCACTATCGCATTGCCGACGGGTACTTGCTACTCCACTCGAGAGGCAAGGACTTACTATGTGTCCCACGCGACCGCCGTCTTCGGACTCGCCTCCTCGGCGGGTATCATGATTCGCAACTCGCCGGCCATTTCGGAGTCAACCGCACTATTGCATGGCTTCGACAGCGATTCCGATGGCCCGACCTCATCACCGACGTCACGAGGTATTGCGACTCTTGCGAAGTTTGCCGACGAAGCAAACCCCGCAATCGCAACCACTACGGCGAGCTGCGCTCGATGCCGATCCCGCAGGAACCTGGTCTCTCCATCGCCATGGATGTCACCGGACCATTCCCCCGCGACCGCCTCGGACACGACGGCATCCTCACGGTTGTGGACCGTTTGAGTAAGTATGCGCGTTTTCTCCCTTGCAAGTACTACTCCACGCCTCCCGAGCTGGCACGCCTCTTGCACACCGGTTGGATGTGTGGCCACGGTGTACCGGAAGACATAGTCAGGGACCGCGGCACTCGCTTCATGTCAGCATTTTGGACTGCTCTCATGCAGGAGTCCGACACGAAGATGAAACCAAGTTCGGCTCGACATCCACAGACAGACGGGCAGACGAAGCGGGCACATCAAACCGTGCAAATGATGCTTCGTACGCTCATCCGTCCGAACCAGAAAGATTGGGTTGAACGCCTCCCCGACATCGAGTTCGCCTACAACACTTTGGTGCACCCGGCGATCGGCGTGACTCCATTCGAGTTGCATAACGGTGGACGGAAAGGCCGTATCTTCGCCGACCTTCTCCTCCCACGACCAGCCGACATCGATGCCGCTTGCTCTCCCGCTTCCGTCCGGAAGTACAGGGAATTGCTGGCTCAAGCCCGCGCGAATATGCAAAAGGCTCAAGTCCACATGCAGCAGCAAGCCAACAGGCATCGCGTGCCATGTCCCATCCGCGTCGGCGGCCTGGTTTGGGTTTCCGCGGAAGAGTTTGCACTGGAACAGGATGTCTCACGCAAACTGCTTCCCAAGTGGTTTGGACCATGGCCCGTAACATCAGCCGCGGGCGATGAGCCCGATGGCCCTTCATTTGTGATCAACATTCCCCCGCATCTGACGCTCCATCCAGTCTTTCACGTCATACTGCGTAGCCACACGGGCCCTGCAGGGCCCGTCCCGCACTTTCAGCCTAAAAGCCTAGAAAATAGGGCTTACAGGCCCCGGTAGTTTCAACCTGAAAGTGAAAACGAGGGCCTGCAGGCCCTATTTCGTTTTCAGCCTATAGCAGGGCTTTTCAGCCCTGAGGCTTTTCAACCTGAAACAGAGGGCCACTTTCGGGCCCTCGTAAGATCGACCTACCCTAAGACTCAGGAACTGCCTCAAGCAGGAGCTGCAGCGGCAGCCCCTGACTCCCTGCGGCATTGGCAGCCTCCTGGACTGTTGCCTCGCCTGCAGCTATTCCAGGCCGAGTAGTACATAGGGGTTTCCCATGCACTTCACGGGTAGGTAGTTGGACAGTAGGCACGAGTAGTCTTCAGGATTCAGCGCGGCACTCAGGAGGAGAGCTGCAGGGAGTAGCTTAGCGCTAGCAGTAGTCTTCAGCACTGGGCGCTAGTAGCCATAGCGGTAGTCTTCAACGCTGGGCGCTAGTAGGTGGTAGATAGTGGAGTTGGGAGAGATGGCTGGCGGGGGCCAGCAAGACTTACCTGTGGCGCCATAGCTCCAGCTCCATCTTCGAGGTACCTGCATCAAGGCGCCAGCTGTACAGGTTAGTACTGGACTGAGAGAGAGAGAGAGAGAGAGAGAGTTCTTCTTCTTCCTCTTTTAAGTCCACCATCTCTTCTTCCTCTTTTAAGTCCACCATCTCTTCTTCCCCTCTCGCCACCTAACTTCTCAGTATCAACGGACTACTGCAGAGAGAGAGTTGTGACTTGAGACTTGACGACATTGGATCCAGACTCGACATTGGGATTCAGACATTTTGACGAGGGACTATTTGGGCTTGTGCCGAAGACTTGGTGTTGACGACATTCCCCATCTTCTCCTCTTCTTCGTCTAACCCCCATCTCCTTCGTCTGTGTATGGTTGGGGCTGGCGCAGTCTTCCTGTGTGAGGCGCCAGACCCTTTCACACCATGGAATGATGATGATGATGTATGTTCAGGGCTGCATTGCAATATTGATTGTTCGGATCATTGGTATCTAAGTCTTCCGCTACGCTATCTTGTACTTTGTATTGAGAGGTCGGTTCTTGTCAGAGCTCGCAAACCTAACCTTGTCTGTCACCCAAACCTGACCCGGACCTGCTCTTAAAAGCATTCTTCATCCGTACCCAATCCGGATCGACTTTGGAAAAAAAATCCAAACTGTATCCTACCCGTACCCGGGCCTTCCCTGAATTTCCAACCCGCGCCCGGCCCGCCCAGGGACCCAAAAAAATTAGCAACTGCACCCAACCCGCCCAAGTTCCATAGTGGACCCAATCGTGGCCCGCCCAATGCGACCTATAACCTGACTATGTCCACCCTGAAGCACCCATGCCCCACATTTGCCCGCCCGAAACCACCCGCGTCCTACATTTGCCCACCAGACTCGCACGTGCCCCACCATTGCCTACTTGAACGCACCCACATGTTACACACGCTCATCTCTCTTTAGAAACAGCTAGTTTTCCTTCACTCAAGGACAAAAAAAGGAAGCAAGCGGATCACAATAGGCCAAAGAGGATGAGTCATAAACCACAGTCTGACATTGCTATAACTTTGAGAAACAAGTTTCAAAGTCAATCCATCGTATCCGAATTATAATAGTCTCAAATTCAAAAACAGTGTTCTAAGTTCTCAAAGATCCAAAGATCCTCACACAAGCTTGCTAGCAGACCGATGACCAAACTAGTAACTGACAACAAGAATTGTTGTCAATCTAACTTCTAATGATCAAGTATTGATCGCACTAGCCCATCAAAATCGATCAGATCTTTGTTTGACCGAACAAAAAGAACATCACTGACCATCGGAGGATTGAGCCCGTTTCTTTTCTTCGTAATCGTGTTGCCAGCGTCAGAGAAGTTACACTCACTCTTCGAACTGGAGGCTGGCACACACAGAACTGAGAGGGCTGCACGAGCCATAATTGGCAAAGGAGGCAGCGATAGCTGTTTTCCTGCACTTTTGACTGTTGAGCCCTTTGCCTTCCACCAAGACAATATACTGAATGTCTTTTTTTCCTCCTTTGTTAACTTCAAACTAAAATATACCTCCATTTCTTTCCCAATTAGCTCACTCAGTGTAGCAGTGTTGTGAGAAGCAGGAACATCGKCATCGTCCTCTTCATCAGAAYTGCACAAGGTTGTAATCCCTGTCATGCGTTTCTGYCTTTTWCGTGGGSGTTGAGATTGAATCTCATGTTCTCCACCTTCACATGCATCTTCCTCTTTCAGAATCTCATTGCCCACTTGCTGCATAACCTCTCTCAGACGAGCCTTGCCCCTTTTGACTTGGACAAAAGGCACTTCAAACAGCTCAAGTCGGTCTTTCTGTCGAGGATCCAGAAGTGCGGCTACGACATGTAAGTCCTCCAATTGCCATTTTTCAACAAGCACTGCTTTCACCAATATCTTTATTTCTTTCATTTGCTCTGAATCAGCTGGAACACCTCTCTCTCTCCCGTTCTTGTCAAGAGCAGTGTAAGCCTCGGTGTGGATTTCACAATGCTCCAACAAAGCATGCCGCTCAAAGGCAACCAAATGAAGCGTTGGTTCCTTAAATTTCTCCAATTTCAGTGTGG